ACAATTCAGAGGCTAATTAATTGTAATTCTCTTTCAGGCTCTTTTATCAGCAGTGCTGCGAAAGGATGAAAGGTTTTTTTTGCCCCCATTTTAGTTTCTACTTCACAAGTTTTAATGTACTTGCATAATTTCATTTGTATTACGTTGATTGCTATGCCTTGATTTTCTTTTCTGCATACCCTGTGCAGTGCAGACAGTGGATTTGATGTGAGCCTCCACCAGCTGGGCTGCACCCAACCTGTGTTGGCAGGGTTATGTAAGTTCTGACTGCTGAGGGCTCTGTGCTGCCTGCCTTCATCTGTCCAAGATCTTATTCCAGCCTGTCAGCAGATAACTCCAGGGGAGATGGGAGGGTGAGTCTGTGCTGCACCCTGACAACCCCAGGGAGGTGGGAGGGTGAGTCTGTGCTGCACCCTGACACCAGTGTCGCATGAAGTGCCTGTCAGTGGCCCTGCAGGACTCGCCAAGCTGCTGCTGCCACACAGGCATTGGCAACCCGGGCATGTGAGTGTGTGTKTGTACTGGCCCGGCTTGGGGGTCCTCTGGGTGGGTGTCTGTGGGGTAGGCTGTAGCACTCCTGGACACAGCCAGGGATTGCTTGTTGAAGATCATGGAGAGATCCTTTAGGGGTACACCATAGAAYAGGGAACGCCAGTGTGGTTTTCCTCTATTTCTTATCTCTGGTTTTGGCAAGAAGGAAATTGGACCACATAAACATGGGAGCTTGCTTGTATCTATAGTTTTGTGCTACAGTGACCTGCGCTGAGTACTGCCAAGTCAGCAGATCTGGCAACAGGCTGGTCAGGTAAAATCCTTGAGAGATCAGGTTCCATCAGTTTCCTGTTTTTCTTTTTAGGGGTCCATCCCAGAATGGCTGTGGGGTCAATCCAAAAAATGAAGGTTTCAGTCTTTCTGCTGAAGTTAGGGGACACTTGAGTAAGCATCCACCTGTATTCTGCTTCAGTATGAAGGCCTCAGGCTCACTAAACTTCAGAATAGGTTGCAGCATTCTCTGTCTTCTGCTCAAGTTACATTTGTAGTATTAAGTTGTAGACGAGTTAGTGTGTTCCATGTGGAGCGGTATTTTTTGGCTGTTCTTTTTACACCAAGATTCCTTGGGCTTTTTTTGGTTTGATAACAGCATGTAGAACAGGCATTTGATTGTGGTGAATGGAGTCAGTACAGTGCAACTGTTTGTTATCTCTTCCTGCTTCCCTTCTTAGTGCTGTGGCCAGTAAGTGAGGTTGTGTGCAGAAGCCACTGAAAGTTTATGTTCTGTTGCAACCAGGGCTTCTGCATGTGTTAATATTCCCTGTGTAGGAAAACAGTATCATATCTTAGGCTAACAACAGTAGAATCATTTTGGTTGGAAAAGACCCTTAAGAAGATCAAGTCCAACATGTCATAGTTTTACAGTGTAATGAAGTGTTTCCTGTGCCCTGCTCCAAGTTGGATTTACCCCCAGTCTTCAGTGTCTTAGGGCTGCACCTGCTTCCAGTGGGGTCTTATCTATGAGCCACAGTTTCCTGAGGGCTATAAATGCTGCAGCATAGATTTACACACAGGCACAGTCCTTCGAAGTGCCCTTGCTCCAGTGTGGCCTCCATGGGCCATAATCCCTCCAGAGACGAACCTGCTGTGGCACAATCACAACAGCCACAGATACTTTGAGAGGTACCTGCTTCCACATCAGCTGCAGGTCACACTCACTGCAGCTCGAGTTCTCACTGGAGTTCCAGCCTGTCCAGTGCAGCAGCACAGACCCAGCAGCAATGCCCTGCCCACGTGCCCGCCTGTGGGGAATGCTGTTGAGGAATGGTTGTTCAGTAAAGGAGGACATGAAGAAATTCAGCTGATTGAACTAGAATTGAGCTAGATGCCAGGGAGGATCAAGAAGGATAAAAACAGCACAAGAATGAAGAAGCTGTAACCGCAAGTGCATACACGAGGGAGCTTTTGCAAGATAGGAGGCTGACCRTTATTGCAATATGGGGGGCTGACCGTTATTATTAGAAAAGGCAAGATCAGCAGAGGTATGAAGAAATGTAACCRCAAGTRGGCACATARGKGTGGGATTGACTATTATTGCATTGTCCAATGATGAGCTATGCTTTTGCAATATGTATGAGCTTATTATCTTGATTATAAAAGGGCAGAGGTCCCGAAATAAAATTGAGGCTTGCTGACCATGAAAGCTTGAGGCTTGTCTCCCGCGACTTCTTCCCAACACCCGCCCAGGCTCATTGCTGTGGCTGTTATCAAAACATTCCCTGGCACAGCAGAAAGGTGATAAGAATTATGTTTATCACGTCTGGTTTTCATTAAACAAAATCTGGCAAACTGAATGCTATGCCAGCTAACAGTAGTAATTCTGGGATGTACAGAAATGGGTGGCATGTGGCAGAAAGCAAGTTGTTTCTAGAGGTTCTCCATGGTCAGTGATGTGTTAGCCCTTCCTCCTACCTGAGCTGGGAACACGCTGGTCTGTGTTTAGCCATTAACCATGCTGAACAAAACATTCATATTTTGTATTTTGAGTAGTTGTTTTKGGGGCTTTTTTAACTATTTATATGAAACTCTGAGGTATATTTTATATAGTCATTCACAGAAATAAGATTGAGAGTCTAATGTAAATAAAAAAAATATGTGCTTAGGGCAAACTTCGAACMAATGTTGATTGACTTTGGCCACAACAGCTATGTACTCAATATTGCCTGAGCAGAAATGTGGAAGTGAAACTACTACTTTCCCTCTGTGTGCACAGCAAAGCTTTTGTGTCACCTGTGGTCTCTGCTACAGGTCTTGTAGGAGTGTTCTGCTGGGCTCTCATCTTTTATAAAAGATAGGTCTTCCATACACGGGACTACACTAGGTCATTGGTATTTTCTTGCGACAACTGAATTTTCAAAGCTATGGTTAAAAAAAAGGGGTCAATATTTTTCTTGCAGATGACTTAAAAAAAAAAAATCCCTGCTGCTTTAAATTCAGTGTTGTTCCAGAGCTGGCACATGGTGCATATAATCTACTAAGTAGGAGACATGCTGTTCTTCAAGGGAATTTTAAAAAATTGAACTAATCCTCTACCCTAGGGAAATACCTTCAAAATCCTCATCTCCACAAACTAGACAACAGAGGGACTGAAAAGGGAACTCTAGTGAATGTGTTGCAATACCCAGTGGCATCCTCATTAAAACCACCTGGTATTCTGAAAATTTGAATGTAGGAGACCATCCACTGCGATTTCTTTTGAATTCACTCTAATAGGAGCTGCAGCAGTTTAAGCACTCAAAGCTGAGTGGCATTTTGCCTCTCTAAAAGACAGATTTAATGAAAGAGACCAATTTGTAAAACAGTGCTTGGAGCACTGGTCTAACTGCTTCTGTGCTTTCATGAGCTCCATTCAAAGCTTCTTAAAACCAGGTCACTTATATATATCTGTCAAGATAGGATTTTAGGAACCAAAGTGTGTATATCCAGTGATCTCTTTCTTGGTTAAACTCTTCTTCCCTTTATTCAGAATTTCCTTACAGTTGTGATGGAGGTTGTGAGCCTGCAGCTGAAGCCTGAGGGTATTTAGCACTGCTTAGAACAAGATGAGAATGTCAGTTTGAAAAACAAGGCTGAACAACAGCAGTGTTAGGCTGGCACAGGTCTTAAAGGATTGATACATTTGTTCCCTCTGTCTTGTGTTGCTTTTTGTAGTGGTTTTGTTTTTGTTTTGGTTTCTTTTGCTGGCGTATTTTGGGTTTTTTGAAGTTACTTTTTGGTCATATAAATTCTTATGAAGTCCTTCAGGTCACCAGTCAGCCAGGCTGAGGATAAAAAAAAATTCGTTTTCCTTTGTTGTATTTGGATCTCTCTTGATTTCCTTGTTTTTCCCTTCTCTTAGAATTACTTGCTTTTACAGTCACTGCCCTTTTGTATATCAGGATAGATTTTGCTGGTTTTGATTACAGGGAGGAATGTAGGCGATAAATAGAGGGTTTATGTACTTCTAACACCAGGAATACTGAAATGGCTCCTCTCAAAAGACAGGGAAAACCAGCCAGTTTGGCCAGGTGCCAGGAGTTTGCAGGATTGACTGTTAAGTGACAAGCCTGAAAGGAAAATTAATGGTAGGCTGCACTCTAAAAAAGAGCATGTTGAGCCCCAGGAGAAATTCTACAGGAGCGAATTCAGCAAGGGCCATGTGCTAATGCCTCAATGCAGTTTTGCCTTTCGCTTGACTCCCCTGTCCCCACAAAGTTCTGGCATTCCCATATGGTTTGTGATCCGCATGGACTGGGCTAGCTGCCTCCGGTACTTGACCAAATGTTTTCAGGAGGGGCTTGTCTACACAAATCTGTTTGAAGGAAATCCTTCTTACGCAGTCTTTTCTGAGCCAGTTAACTCCAAGGGCCCTGACTTTTGCAGATGATGGTATTAGTTCTGTGTTTGTTCTTGTGCAAGACCATACCTGCCACTCTGGAACATACCTGCTGCTCTGGAGGCTGTAGCCAGAAGTTACAGCTGTTCATTGGTGATGAGGATGTCACTGCCCAAAAAAAGGCACTTGKTTAAGTAATAGCTTATAGTTTGTACATGGCATGCTTGACATTGCTCATGGAGTTTTCTAGATTTTTCATATGGACAACTTGCACCACTGACCTGAAGATCAAAAAACAGAACACAGACAGAGTTCTGCCTCTGAATTGCTGTGGCACTGTACAGCAGATAAGTGGCTTCCAAAAGCCCTGCTCTGCTAGAGTGCCATCCACCATTAAAACTGTGAAATACAATCGGGTTTCATATAAAGAGATTTTTATTACATAAAATACTTTTGCAATTGTGATGTGAAACAGGTTAAAGCAGAAAACAACTGGGGGCCAGAACATAGGGAAGAAATTGTCATTTTCCCAAATGGAGGAAAATCAGAATGTAAGGTGTGGGTTTTGGGTTTTTCAGTGTGCTTGGGGATAGGATGTCCTTCTACATAGATTTTTTTCCTCCTAGGCATAAAATTAGGGGGAACATTTGGTGCTAAGAAAGCTGGTTTGGTGGGAGAATACTGTAGACTTTTCTCATTTGTCTCTTGGTCTCTCCCTCATAACAATTTCAGGATTTGCCCAGTAACTGTATGTACCCAGTATATGTCAGGGGTTTCACAGTATTTAGATCCAGAGAATAACATGATTATTTTAAGTCTACCATGAAAATGGCCCTTTTTGAGCATGAGTAAGCCAAAAAGAATAACAAATGCATTATGGAAGAAGTACAKTCTCCCTCTGTTCCAGGACTGTGTCAGCCATTAAGTTTGCAGCACACAAAAAAAAAGCATCCCTGGTTCAGGAAAGTAAAAAAGTCACAGACTCCTAGGAGAAGGAGGAACGAGGCTTTCTGCCTCGTCTTGGGGCAGATTTGTCTGTCAGCAATATGTCTGCAGCACAGAGAGGTGAAGTGACTTGCAAAATTTATTCAATGCGTGTCAAGGCAAGGAGCAGTGTCACAGAGGTTGGATCAGTCACCTTGGTCCCTCTGAAGGAGCAGACCCGTGTTTCTGTGCCACTCCGGTTCCCATTTAATGAAACCATCACCAGCTGCCTTTTCTTTGCCCTTAGGTTGTGCCTCTGACCTCTCCATCTCTTGCTCACGCAAGAGATTGGGAGGTTTAGAGGGCAGCTCCACCTGGCAAATGTCACATGCCCTCTTCTAAGAGGTATGGCACCTTAGGTGACTGTCTGCCTAAGCTTTGGGCATTGAGTTACTGGTCTAGTTCACTCCCCCTCAGTCTGGTGCATCTGTCCTGGCAGYTGGGTGTCTCCCGTGTCCATCAGTCGGGTGTGCTGCAGGCTGAGAGCCGGGGAGGTGAGCGTTGCCTCTGCCTGCRCTGTCTCAGAGCTCTTGTGCCCAGCTCACCACCCTCAGGCGTGCAGCTGCATGATCAGCACTTGCTGATCAACTCCTGGTTTTCAAGGTTAAAAAAGAAAGGTAAAGAAGAAAAAAATGGTGTGTCGCTTTAACTGTAAGTGATTGCTCATGTATTTAGGGTAAGTACTTCTGTGTCTGTGCTGCCGGAGTTAAACTGGTGAAATGGTGTGGGTCATGCTGTCAGTCAGTGAAGCGTATGCCTGTTATGTAAAGGTTTTAATTACTTTCTTCATCTGTCTGCTTAGGAGTACCACGCGTCTGGCAAAATTTTGAGAAGGCTCAAGGCGTTAAAGAAAGCTCATCTAAATAAAGGAGGGTTAACGTGACATTGCAGTTACTTAATCCTGTATTGTCCTGCCATGTGACTGCAGGGACACTGAGGCGCAGCATTTCTTTTGCGTGGTGCACAGATTATGCTTTTCCGTCGTCTTCGAGAATCAGTTGCTTTGTGGAACACCATGGGAAAGAAAGAGAGGTGCAACATTCTTTTTACAGCAAGACTTCAACATGCAGTGACATTTCCAAGGTACGGTGACAAGCTCACAGACTGAAGAATGAATCAAAGGCAGTCGCTACAGTCAGCTTTTGGACTCTTACCAGAATCGAGGAGAACTACACTCTTAAGGTCAGCTACTCAAAATTAACTAGAAGTATCTGGATTTATTCAGAGCAGCTAAGCAGTTTTCTGTTTGACCTTTATCTATCAAGGTAGGTCTCAAAGCATCAAGCTAAAGTTTTGTGTCAAATATTTTTCATGTGTCAAATGTGCTGCATAGACAGTGAATACCCCGCCACTTTCTTGCACAAAGTTTGCAGTTTTAATTGTAAAGCCTTTTTCACCTTGCAGCTGAAGATCCTGACGCACTAAATCTGTTAGTGAGAAATGGATGTATACAACTTCTGGTTTCATGTCTGATTTTGAACAGGACATGCAATATGTAGATGTGCCGGATTTGTTTTTGAACGAATTTCCAAACTAGTCCTCAGACTTTCCATAAGCTGCTTTTTTTTTTTTTTCTTTTTTCCCTCCTGCGTTTGTCACACTACTCATAATGAGCAAGATTGCATTTTCATACAGAATTACTTCATTTAAACTTACCAGGACATCTTGTTAAATGGGGAAGTGATTACCCTATAGACTATGACAACAGGACATGTGAATGAAGGAAGTCTTGGAAAATACCGCTGTTCCAGGTGGCATCATGAGGACAGCCGAGAAGATGCTGGGCATGCAGAGTGCTATGGAGAAGATGAAGAGGGCAGACAGCACAGGCTGACCCCATTTGAGAAACTAATGCAGGATATGTCTCATAATGAAAAAGTGGTGAAAGAATTAACCCTGGGAAAGAGAATTGCCTTCTATCGAGTCAGAGGAGAGATAGGAAGTGGGAATTTCTCACAAGTGAAGCTTGGAATTCATTCCCTAACCAAAGGTAGGCACTATTGCATGCTGAGAGCCCTATATAAATGGCCTCCTATGGGAAGAAAGATGCTGTAAGAACATTAATTACACATATAGTGTGTGTGTATGTGTGTTTTCAATATTGAGTTAATCTATAGGCAAGGTCACACATAAATGCTGAGGGCTGGATTAGGCTTCAAAGAAACCAGAAATATTTTCTCTAGATGGCAGCTGTTAATTACAGTAGGAATTCATTGCTGCAGTTTGTGGAGTTAGCACATCTCATCCTGTGGCTCAAACACTCCACACTTTGAAGTGAGGTGTTGTGCCTCCCCTCCTACAACCTCCCCTCTTCCATCTGTTCATCTGCCCTCTTCCCTGCCCCAGCTCATGGCCTTCAGGTGATGAATGCCCAGGGCACCAGGCTGGGCATGCTCCTGCCTGCAGTCAGAGTTAGCAAGGCTTCCTTGGTTTAATCACAAATTTTAGTAGTATGGATAAAAATGTTATGGGTTACAGTAATTTTGGTGAGAAATGTGATGCCCACTTTACTGACTCATTTGCTGATGGTTCTTTACTTTAAAAAACTGGGATGGGGCTATAGGTGTGGGCTGAAGAGGTGCTGGGAAACAAGCTCTGGTATTGCCAAGCTGATGTTTTTGTTGAATTGACAGTTATTTTTCTTGTTTTAATTATAAAAAGTATCCTAGGTACTGCTTCTAGGAAGAACTAGAAGGGCTAGGTAACTGCAGTGCACACTTCAGTCACAGGTAGAGCTAAGAGCTTGTTATCAACTGTCCTGTTTCTTCTTCTGCCTTTGCCTGACAGTAATAGAAATTGTTCTTGTTCTCCATCAGGGTGACTAGTTTTCTCTGTATCTTTGTATACTACTATCTTGATTTTCTTCTCATAGCCTTCACTTTTCAGTTTGACTGACTCCCCTTCTCTTTGTCATCATAGAGATGAGAGATATGCCCCAAAACCGTAAATCGCTCTTTCAGCCCAGACTTAAGAGGGGTGAAAGCTCATAATTACCCCACAGGTACAGCAGTTGTTGCATCTGGAATCTAAATGGAAAACTGATGTGACTTAATTTTTCACACTTAAGCCTGCCTACACCCAAGGGTTGCTTTAACTGGGTGTTGAATTTTTGGTTGTGCTTGTTTCAGAAAAACATCTCTGTTCTACTTGGCCCACAACAAGTTGTTTTCTCTTCTGTGAATTTTTTTTTTCCAGAGGTAACTGTTTTGTGCTTAGTGCTGGAGGAAATGCTGCCCCTGTACTAGGAACAGGAGAAGTGGTAATGAAAGGCAGTTAGAAATTTGATCTTAATGAACTCTTTACTTGCTGAACTTACCTAGGAAACAGGTTGCTTTAGTATCTGAATAGAGCTAGAAAAAATTTGAACTTYGGTGAATACAGTTTGGACAAATGCAATACCAAAACAAAAACTTTACTTTTTCTGGAAAAGTTTCTTTTTTGACAGAAATCTCTCGAATTATTTTTCTTCTGTTTGTAACTTTTTTGGTTAGAATGTTCACTAGAAAGTATGTTAATTTATTGATGCTAGATTTGTAACTGTCATGAGGAAGGAAGAATAAAAGTTAAACATTTWCTGACTTGTCTCTGCCTGTGAGCTGATCTGTGCTCATAAAATACAGTACATGGACAGAAGAACAGGAATGTGCACATAGGCATTCATGTATACATACACACAACCACCACCACAAAGAGGATTCTGTTTTTTGCGCTTGTATTGGCAAAGAAATGATGTTCCTGCACAGTGTTAATGAGTGCAAGTCTTTTTTTAATCTGGTTAAATAAATAAAAGGCTTCTTTATTAATGCTGTTCAGGTCTCTGTGGTAGAGCGTGGTGTATGTGTCAGACTGTTGTTCAGCTCTTCAGTTACTGCCAGTTTTAAGTATGGTCTCTCTCCTTCCTGTACCAAAAAAAAAGCAACAATTTTGTTTTTTCTAATAYGAGCCTTTGTAACAATTACATATATGTGCTTTTGTGTTGCCCTTGTGAACCATTGCAGGACACAATTTCTAGAGAGAGAGGGCAAAAACTTGAGGATCATACTGGATGAGGAATGCTGTTTCCCTCACAGGGGCTATCTTTGTTGTTTAAAAAACACAGAAAAATCTTTTGTGCTATGATGTGGATGTCATGTGCCGTGGCTTGGATGGGTGCACTGTTTACTGGATAAAAAGCTGGCTGGCTGRGAGTGGTGGTGAATGGAGTAACATCCATCTTGGGACCCGTCACTAGTGGTATTCCACAGGTGACAGTATTGGGGGCCAGTCATGATTCATATCTTTGTTAATGATCTGGACGAGGAGTTGGAGTGCACCCTCAGTCAGTTTGCAGGTGACACCATGCTGGGTGTGAGTGTTGATGTGCTGGAGGGCAGGAAGGCTCTGCAGAGGGATCTGGACAGGCTGGATCCATGGGCTGAGGCCAATGGGGTGAGGTTCAACAAGGCCAAGGGCCGGGTCCTGCCCTTGGCTCACAACAACCCCAGGCAGTGCCACAGGCTGGGACAGAGGGGCTGGAAAGGACCTGGGGGTGCTGTGACAGCAGCTGAACATGAGCCAGGGTGTGCCCAGGTGGCCAAGAAGGCCAATGGCATCCTGGCCTGGATCAGCAATGGTGTGGCCAGCAGGAGCAGGGCAGGGATTGTCCCCCTGTCCTGGGCACTGCTGAGGCCACACCTCGAATCCTGTGTTTATTTGTTTTGGACCCTYTTCTACAAGAGAGACAGTGAGATGCTGGAGCGAGTCTAGACAGGGGCAACAGAGCTGGGGAAGGGTCTGGAGCACAAATCCTGTGAGGAGCAGCTGAGGGAGCTGGGGGTGTTCATCCTGGAGAAAAGGAGGCTCAGGGGTGACTTTAGCATGCTTTATAACTGCCTGAAAGAAGGTTATAGCCAGGTGGGGKTCGGTGTCTTCTTCCAGGTAGCAAGAAACAGGACAAAAGGAAATAGTCTCAGATTGTGCCAAAAAAGGTTGAKGTTTAGGCTAGACGTTAGGAAAAATGTCCACACTGAAGGGATGGTCAGGCCTTGGAATGTGCTCCACAGCGAACTGATGGAATCACCATCCCTGGAGGTATTTCAAAGTCGTGTGGATGTGCCATTTAGAGACCAGGTTTAGTGGTGGGCTTAAAGGTCTTTTCTGATTTATGGTTTTACTTGCATTGTGTTATTCAGGGGCATTGCCCRCTGTATTAACCTGAATTTTGACAGAGATGTTCTCCAGAAATCCGTGGAGTTTCTTGCTAAGAACTATTATTTTCCTAAGCCCTGTATAACCTTTATTTTACATGCCTTCAAGATGACAAAGAAGCATGAGAGCGCAGCTGAATAGAAGCATCCAGAATTTACAGCTAGTAAAGTGTCCATCTAATATGATACAAATTGCAAAAGCAGGAATGTCCAAGCACCTGGTTTGCTATCTTTTAAGCAATTTTAATTTGGTTTTGTTTGTATTTTTTTCCTTCTGCCATCATGGCATATACCATTTCTTCCTGAAATTATTTCCCAACCTTTTCCTAGTTTCTGCTGCTAAAATTTCACCTAGCACTTTTCAAACCTCAGCATATACTGCATAAAGTCAATCAAAATCTCTTTGAGTTCTTTTTGTAATTATTTTGGTAAATAAGCTGCCTGCTCAAAATGCCCTTCTGTTCACCACAGCTGCTATGCAAGARTAATAGATGGTTTGTAAACCAAGTATTGTTTGGAAGCAGAAAGGAAGAGTAAAGACAAGGAAAGTGTCAGATTTTTTGCACTCTAGGTGTRCTAGGTTTCTTTGCATATCATGCATTTACAACTGCAATGATGTAGATTTAAAGGAGCTTGATCTTGATTTATGGTGGTGTTTGAACAAGATCAGGCTCTTCAKTTCTACACCTTTTTTTCCCCTCCTCTTTCATTTTAAAACTTTGCAGGAAAACTGACCAAGAGAAAAAGTAGACTCCAGGAAATGAAAAGGAAAAAGAATTAACCTAGAAGATTTTTTTAAAGCCCAAATGTTCCCAACTTTTATGGAACAAGATGTAATTATGAAATTACATTATTAAGATTTTAAGAATTGTGAGCATTTTGTTATGCAAACATAACTTACTGCAAGCTACTGCTCTTTCCTCTTGGTTTAGGAGATTSATATGCTATGAACATGATAAGGGTCTTTCACTAGGTCAGCAGTCAGAGTGCTGCCAGCATCACAGTCATAGCTGCATTTCCTCCTGGTTCACCYCACCTCCACATCACACAGGAGGTACCTGCTGCCCTGAGGGGCTCCCTAGAAAGTGCAGAAAGTGCAGAGRGAAGCAGTGGCCAGGAAAACAGCCCTGTATTCAGCACAGGATCGTGAAAACAGGCACATCAAGGGATAATTCAGCACCTTCCACAAAAATCCTATGCRCTTCAAGCATCGGCTGCACTTCAGCAGGAGGATCTTGTGTTTGTTTGATTAAGACAGTCTTAAGGGGGAAAAACCCTACACAACCAAAAATCCTTTATTCTGAGGAATAAATAGCTGTTTTTATTGCTGTGATCCATTTTAATTTTGCTGTCCTGACATGTTATACAAAGCCACTGTAAACCCGTTTTAACCAGACTAATCCTTCAAATACCAGCTCTATTCAGAAGAGCAAAGACAAAAGCTGTAACCTACAGACTAATACAGAAACATAAGGGCAGTTGTGACTGACCTATTCATATTGCTTTGAGCTACTCTGATGATGTGGTGCAGCTGCAGATGTATTGTATGTGTTTTGTTATGCCCTTGGCACAACTGTAGATGTGCTCCAGAAAAACACAGGACTTAACAGAAGCTTTGCATTACCAGAACAGCATCTGCTAGATTTGCTGTCTTACAGGATCCCTGCGACTTACTCTTCTTCACTGCTCAGAATAAAATAGCCAAAGCCTCTAAATTCCTAAGTTTGTCTGTCTGGTCTGAAACAAAGCACCAAATTTAGCACCTGCATTAGTCTCYAAGTACCTGGCTCATCTCAGGAGCTCTAAGCTAACAACAAAAGCAAAGACTTCTTTGACCTGGATACCAAAGCACTGGATACCAAAAGCAGATGCTGTACCTTCAGACATGTTTTATTAGCCTGTCATGGTGAAGCACACCAAGGCAGCAGATGATTTGATCAGCCCTTGCAATATTCTACCAGCCTTCAGCTACCTCAGCACTGAGTAGTATGTTGTAGATAGAAAGGGGCAGGGGTTGTGTGAAAGATTGCAGGGTTTAGTAGGCCCCCGCAGCTTAGTTTATACTAATGASGTGAAATTTTATTGCTCTTTTACGAGCATTGTTGTAAATAAATAGTAGTATCATTTGTATTTATTGCATTAACAACATGGAAAAAATGTTTTTCTTCTCAGAGAAAGTTGCAATTAAGATTTTGGACAAGACAAAGCTAGACCGGAAGACTCAGCGTTTGCTATCTCGTGAGATATCCAGCATGGAAAAGTTGCACCACCCAAATATCATCAGGCTGTATGAAGTGGTGGAGACACTCTCAAAACTGCACTTGGTGATGGAGTATGCAGGAGGCGGGGAGCTCTTCACTAAAATCAGTACAGAAGGAAAGATGCTAGAAACAGAGTGTAAAATAATCTTCTCCCAGATTGTGTCTGCTGTGAAGCACATGGTAAGTTGCTCTTACACAGGCATGTTGCTCCTCACTATTCCTAGCACATTTTGTGGATGTATCTTTTGACTTTCAACAGTAGGGTTACTKTTACAAAAAATTTCATGCCCACATTTCTGAAAAGCAAAACAACTGGAGAGGAGCTGTTTTACAGGTATCTGAGAGCTTTCACATCCACCTCAAGTCACTGCCTCTCTGTAAGGCTGCCTCTGACAGCTTTTCAGAGACTGAACTGGGAACACCTGGTGGGTGGAATCATCCCTTCAGCAAGTGTTTTGTCTGCTTTAAAGTGCTGTGGGCAAAGTGAACAAAGCTTTATTTCTTCACTCACTCTATTTAAAAACACAGGATCAGTCCCTCTCCCACTTCTGGAGAGGCTGTTTAGTACTGCATACATCTGGATTGCTTATTATTGGGATACATAGGAATCTGTCACTTAAAGGCAGTCAGTTCCTGGTCCTTGCTTTGATGCAAATCTGTTAACACCCAGYGAGTCACTTGTTGCCCAGTCTTCAGTATCTACACTTAGGATGATGTTATTTGTGTAGTTCCCAAAGCATTTTGTCCAGGCAGAAAAGAAAAGGAGCAATTAAATTACTTCGGTACATCTCATCTAAACCTTGCAGAGTAATGGTAGCTCCTTGGAAAAAAAAACCCCAAAACAAAACAAAAACAAAACAAAACAAACAAACAAAAAAACCACAAAAAAACCCAAAATCAAACCACAAAAAAAACTCAAAAAAAACCCTCACCCACGGAGAATTGTTACACGAGTTTGAGATGTGGCATTGGTTAAAGTTTGCTCAGGGTGCCCTCCCGTGGGGATATGTTATCCTGCCATGTAAAGTTTCTGGCCAAGTCAGAAACAATGATGCTCCCAGATCAGACATCTAGAAACTTCATTACATGCAAATTTTATGTATTTTGATGAAATTATCCTGTGTGCCTTAAGTGGTGGATTAGCTTCAACACCTGATCCACAGGACACGTATCCTGCAGCTACAGGAACTGAATTTACATTTCAAAATTGCACCACATCTATTTCTTAAAATTAATTACAGGCTATTGAGCTGGCCAACTTTTCACTTGTACAGAAAGACTTCTGCACATTTCACTTTTACTAAACCATCACATCCAGGCTACACAAAAAAAATCCCATCTCACTGCTGCCAGTCCACAAGGACAGAGGCTCCCTGGCTGTTACTAGTGACAGTTGCAGTAGGATGCCAAAGGGTTTCATTATTGCCTCCAGGTACTCCCACCTTACTCCAAAGGACAGGGCAGAGAGTGCTTACCCATTCCTTTTAGTTATTTGAAAGATGAGGCTAACTCTTACCTAATCAAGACCAGTGTGTCATGACTAAGCAGAGCAAATTCAGTTTGAGTCCTCAGCTAATACTGACATTTGCAAGGGAAAAAAGTAGAAATATGTAYTTGAGATTTCTAAAACTAGACGACAGTAAACCTAGTTGTCCTAGGCAACATGAGGCACGAGTCTGTGGTCCTCCATAGTCCTGTCCTGCCACCACCAGTTCCTCACAGGACATTTGATCACAGAATGTAATTCTAGTAACTTTCTTTATCTATGATTATGTTAAATTGGTCAACTAAATGTTTACATYTGTAAGTTACATATAGTAACTGCAAAAACAAGTGTTGTGAGCCCTAAAAAAATACAGWTTTTGCACATGAAGGTGTCTAGTCTTGTAGGATTAGCCATGCTGCCTTACTCATGAAAATAACGAGATGACACTGCTATGCTTAAAAACTCCCATTCTACTTCYTCTCTCCCTGCTCAATTGTTTTGATATCATTAGAGAATTGAGTTAATTTGTTTAATATGAATGTTTAATTCATTGCAATACTGGTTTCTGACTTTGCCCARGATAACTCCCCTTTTCCCACAGGGTAATGAATCAATTAAGGGCAGCCATTGAGAACTTTCCTAGGGACAAATCAATACCAACTTTTCCTCTTCTTCCACAGCATGACAATAATATCATTCACCGGGACCTGAAAGCGGAAAATGTCTTCTACACCAGTAACACCTGTGTTAAGGTGGGAGACTTTGGATTCAGCACAATCAGTAAAAGAGATGAAACTTTAAAAACTTTCTGTGGCTCTCCTCCTTACGCTGCGCCTGAACTCTTCCGGGATGAAAACTATATTGGCATCTACGTGGACATCTGGGCACTGGGAATCCTCTTATACTTCATGATGACAGGTAGCATGCCATTTAGGGCAGATACAGTAGGCAAACTGAAAAAGTGCATTCTTGAAGGGACATACACTTTGCCTCCCTGCCTCTCAGAAAATTGCCAGAAATTGATAAAAGGAGTACTTCAGCCAGTACCAACCAAGCGATACTCTGTCAAACTGATTATGAACAGTGAATGGATGCAAGGAATACAATTCCCCAAACCTTTACAGACATTTAAACTGGATCCAAAGTATTTATCAGACATCAGTACACTGAAAGAAGAAGAAATGGAAGTGAAAAATATTCTGGAGGATCTGGGAATTACAGAACAGCACATCCAAAACAACAGGGGAAGAGATGCACGCAGCTCAATAACAGGGGTCTACAGAATTGTGTTGCACAGAGTACAGAAGAAAAGAGCACTTGAATCTGTTCCTATCATGTCCCATCCAGATCCCAAAGAAGATGACTCAAGGAATGGAATCAATTCTTACAATGGGATTAAGCACACTTCCAAGCTATGTTCTATTTTATAAAATTGCACCGCAAGCTTTATGCTCAGCACATTTGACAAAAGGGGATTATTTACTTAAGTTCTAGTGTTACTTTTTTTTTTTTTTTTTTTTTTTTCTTTTTTTTTTTTATTTTTTTTTTTTTTTGGTTTTTTTTTTTTTTTTTTTTTTTTTTTTTTTTTTTTTTTTTTTTGTTATTTCTGAATAAACCAAAAATGCCTCATTTTCTTTGCATTTCTCAAGTGACAGTGAAGTGCTTAAATACAGAGCTCTTGTGCATTTTTTGACCATTTCTCCAGACACCTGGAGAAGTGTAAGAACTCACTATCTGAAAGAAGCATAAGTGAAGGGGATCTTTAATAAACACCATGCTACTGCACTTAACTGGTTTGGGAGATATTCATACAGGCATGTAACAGGTAACTTCTGAAAAGCTGTACCTAAACCTAACACAACTTTAGCACTGCAAACCGGGACACTTTTTGCAGAGGATTATATTTAACCAAAGACTAGACCATAATCTAAACAACTTCAAATTCTTCTTTTAAACTTCATCAAATTAGACAAGTTAATTAAAAAAAAATAATTTTATTTTCTTTCAAGAAACAGCAAAGCTGTTGTTGGCTGCAGTTCCCAACTTGTCATGATTCCAAAAGACAAATTAGGATTCAGAACTTTAACTCTGCACGTGTGGATGCCTGACTGGTTGGGCTATCATCAATTACCCTTCTGTTGCCTTCCACTACTTGCATGATTCTGCCAGTCTGGAACTGCTTGGACACCAGCTGCACAATAAAGATTAAAGCATACTCCAAAACCTATGTAGTTCTTGAGTTCYTGCTTTAGCCTGTATTATCAGTAGCTGAATGCAAATAGTAGCAAAATCTGCGTATATCCTGAGCGGTACAGGCTTATGCTCACTCCTGCCATCCTGGTTTGGCAACCAAAGCTGGCACAAAGCTGATTTTGACACTTGACCACTGCAAGTTAAAAACTGGACAGTCAGACAACTCCAGTTGTTCTGAGCATCACCAAAATGCAGATGCTCCAATTTTCAGTTGTAAGTGCTTATTCTATACTTACATCTTCAACAGCATCAATTCCAGTGCAAAGGACAAGTGTGGTAGCTGTTCTCTGAACAGGGACAGCTGACACGCTAAGCAAAGAGGTAGAACCTATGAGTTTAGTTAAGATCCCCAGTACAAGGTGTCCACAGACACAGATGGTGCTTTCACATTTACAGGCAGGATGCTTTAACTCATCACTATAACATGACTATAACTATAACTATGTCATGTTATAACACTGATGAGACAATCAGTTAACTTTAGGAGTAATTCATAGATATGACCAACAGAATGACTCTGAAAAGCCACCCATGGAAAACAGGACTCAGTGAGGCTGTGGTATGTACAAAACAAGAACTAAGCCACTGTCACAGATTTTCTGAGAGGAATAAAACAATACCACTTTTATAAAGCAGTAATTAACTCCATTCCGTAAAGTGGGTATTAATTCTTCCACTATGAAGTTTCTATAAAAAACATTTTAAGTTATCTTGGAAAATGGCCCTGATCAAATTGTTTCATACAGCCTAAGCAACTCTTTCCACTGTGATAACAGAATGACAYGAAGAAGAAAGATGCAGAACGTCCACACAGCTTGTGTTACCCACAACTTTGGGTTTAACAGAGACAGTTTCCTYTTTCTTTCCTGTCAAAGAAAATGAAATCCATTCTAAAAACCCAACCCAACAACAAGTCAGCACTACTCCAACAGGTTTCATATATCTCAAACTTTATTTTAATAAAGGGTCAGCCTCACAGACCTGTGAAGTCTGTGCCAGTAGCTCGCTTCTTGGCTTGTCCACTGCCAGCAATGGACTTTGTTCCATGACAGTTTGTTTTACAGGTGCCAAGGTTAAGTTTCATGAGGGCAACCTAAACCAAAATACTTGCAAACACTACCATCATGCATTGCTCCATCATTTTCAGCAGAACAAACAGATTAGTAATCATCAATTTATAATAAACAACTATTTTACCAAGGCTTGACTGTACAAATACAGCAAGTTATCAAATCCTAGTGAGTGACAGATAATACAAACACTTCATTACACACACAAAAAATTGTAATTAACAGAGAAATCATTTTTGCTACTTTATATTAGATAATGTAGCTTTGTAGAATTAGCGCAGAAATAAATTCAATGAAACTTCAATCTGTACATTAGCTCAACTTAAATATATATATATATATGTATGTGTGTATATATATATATATTACAAGCTTAAAAGGCTCATATCATAGTTCATTTCCAATCTGGGCTTTAAAAATCTACCAGAATGGACTCCCCATAACCACTGTATATCTATCTACTACTTGCAAAATGGATAGCTTTAGCTTGCATGTTGCGGGAGGGGGAAAAGAAATAAAAGACTCCACTCCTACAGTATTACCAAGTGAGAAGGACTTCAAAGTACAAAGCCAGATTCAAAGCCAGGAAAAGTCTTTTGGAAATGTATTATTTATAGGCAAAAAATAGGCCAGAGTTCCGGACAAAGTGATGAAGATCACTCTCTTCCTCCGTCTGCCAATTAAAAGAGTGCCACAATATCAGCACGTTTTATTTGAAAATTCTGCTGTCTTGGATACTTCTACTAAACAACCCATCATGGTGGCAAATCAATGATCCCACTGTTCTAGAAGAAAATATTCACTACCTTCCTTCATCTTTCTTCCCCGGCTCCTGTAACTTACAATACAGGTATAAAACAAATAAGATGTTAGGAGGAATTACATAGCAACTAACACAGTGGATCACAGAGTTTCTAAGAAAACCACTTGTCAGCCTAGCCATTCTTGATCCAGTCACTTTGACAAGGAAGAGAGATTCTATTCCAGCAATGGATGTTCTTGGTTCTATGCCTCTCCCAAAGCAATGGGGTGATGGGAGGCAGACTGGGAGACGAAAAGGAAGGTGATAAAGTGAAAGAGAATTGCAGTATTCAGAAGGTCGACTGCTTATTGTCAAGGCACTCAGAACCCTCACATTAAAAGCTAGGACTATTTTGCACACACTTGAGTACTAGTAGAAGTTAACAGTGTAAGTTTCAAGTCATTTTACATGGAAGCGCAGGCAGAAGATTCCTTTTTTTTTTGTGTATGAAGACCTTGTAATAGACTACAGCTACTTCTCAGCAATTAAAAAAGTTCAGACATGTTAAGGAATCCCCACAGCACCTGGCAAGTCCCTCTATCTCCAATATACTCCTGATTTTGGTGTTCTGAAAATACTATAAAATCAGCAAACCATATTATGATTTTTCTGAGGAGCTTAAACAGATTTTTCATGCTCCAGTTAAGTAGTACTGTACACTGAAACATCAGTGTTACTGCAATCCTTTTTCTCTCTCTCTCACCCTGCCCTCACACCTCGTTTCTTTCCCCACCTCACAGAGGTATCTTAATGCTCCCCATTGGAAATGGCGACAGTAACGCCTTCAGATTCTGTTGTTGCAGGGATTCTTGGCACTTTCTTAGCAGGGCTTGGGATGTGCTAAGAAGAAGGGAAAAAAAACATTAAATACAGTTTTCTAGTTCACAGACATTCATAATTCATGGCTAGTCCAACTCTCAAACAACATTCATGCTATACTGGACGGCTTGGCCTTAAGTCAATCAAATTGGTCATGCTTCATGCAAATAGATTGTGTGAGAGAGAATAGCCAGTTTGTTCTTCTTTCATTCTTGTGCAGTTTCGTTCTTTTTATGATGAAATGTAGTTTTTAAAATCACATGTTCAACTTTTTACTTCTGGCTTGTATGTTACACATGTTAACAAAGTATTGAATGTAACTCGTAAAACCACTTCCTCTTAACATACATGCACATGCTAAGACAAACATGTAAATGGTTCACCATTTACATCAAACTTTAAAAGAGTGCCGAGTGTTCACCTCATGAACAATGCCTGGGTGGACAACTCCAACTCTTGCTTCCAGAGGTCCATCAGTCATGAGTGGGCGCCGGGCATAAGTTCTCCTGTGCTTTTCATCCACACGCACAAGGTACCATGTTCCTTCAAAGAGATCCTCAACTGAACACTGTGGAATATAATTGGCTGTAAAAAAGGGAGTAGTAACACACTGTTAGTTATTTCCTGGAAAAAGTTTTAACCAACATAGGCCTTTGCAGACTGGATGCACTAAGACATAAAAAACCAAACCAGCATTTCTACTTCTTATTGGGCCATATGAACAAAAGTTACTCAGAAGCAGAAAAGGTTGGACATTTTCCTTTATTCTACACCCTGATCATTTTAAGTCAGGTGGATTAGAGATAATCATTCCTAGTCCTAGAGCAAAATGCTTTATATTTATTAAGTTCTTACCCAAATGATGCGTTTCCTGTCTGAGTTTCATGTTTTCAGCAAAGACATCAGGTGCAATACACTTTCTTGAGTCAAGTCTTGTTTTGAGATCAGAAAGGCTGGCAGTTATTTTGTCCAGTGCAGAACCTGCAATAGGGAACCATCATGTAAGTTAGAGCCAGTACTCAGAAATGCTCACTAGCATGTGAACATTTCAACCCATTCAAAGTACCTTTAATAGAATCCCAAGTATTAGTMATTTAAAAATATTCCCAATTACCAACTCAAAGCATTTAACAGAGTTTGAAGAATATTATTTACTTGTTCAAGGAGACATTTAAACACTCCTTGGAGCTGGACATTCTCAGTGTGGCACTGCTGTCATTAGGCACTGCCCTGCAGGTTTACTTATGCTAGTGGGTTGTGTAACAAGGAACCGAGAGCCAGCTGTGCAAGGCAACATCACCTCCTGTCACTCACCAGGAGTGGCATCCTGTGTGACCCTGATAGAATACAGGGTAGCAGCAAAACCAGAGCCATATGAGAACACGCTGATTCTCTGTCCTGCAAGCTGCTCTGGGGAGTACCTGCAAATCATACAACAGCTTTTTAAAACCAGAATTAAGCCAAAGTGACTGTTTTAAATAACTAGAAACTGCAGCTAGCTTAGGAAAAGCAGTCAGCAAATTATTTTGTCTCTAATACACATTTAGAATGCTATGTGCATAAACA